ACGCCAATTCAATATCCAATGAAGGTTTTAAGAGCTTGCGAGAACAAGTTTGTTTCTTTTTGCTCACCTCCAGATTAAGCAGATGGATTCTGTTGCATTAGATCCAGCTGTTTGACTGCTGTAACTCCTGTGAACTCAACGAAAGATAAGGTGTTGCTTAAATTTGCATCGAGGTTTATCATTTATCTCAGAACTGTGATACGGATATCTTCTTCCAATTTTTTAGTTGCTAAACAGGTATCCATGTCGATCTAAAAGAAGATAGCAGAATTCAATACTTCCAAGCTTCCAGAATGGTCAAGTACTCTGCTGCGCGCCCAATCTACTCAGAAAGCAAAAGTGAAAGTTGGATTTGCGGACAACAGTTTGTTTACACAGAACAGGAAGAAAATTGGCCCTTCACTGCAAAAGCGCTTGGCGGGGTAACAAATCAAAAAGTCAATGCAAAACATATCAAGCAACATATTATCCACTCCTTTTTTAAAAGGCATTTGAAACCAAACATTAGGTGTTTGTACGCCATGAACCACAGAAGTACTCAACATACAGAAATAAAACTGTTCACAATGGATCATATTTTTGTCGTAAAGACCGATGCCCAGCTGAAAAACCAGTGAGGAAGTGGGCACATGAGGCCTAAGATTAAAGTTGGGCATATTGAAATAACAGAATAATTTTTTCAGTTGAACGAAAGTATGAAAGAGAAGCAGATAATAAAGGAGTTCATGCTATACACCAGATGTTTCAGCATAGCTGGTTAGGAATAGGCCGATATCCCGCCTTTTGATCACACGTACCAGAAGCATGAAGAGCGTATAACGTTACTTTGTGTAGAGGAAGCATACAGATTAAAGGTAACTCCCGAAATAGTTCCTCGGAAATTCCGGTTATGGAAATCTCCAGGGTGCGACAACACCCATACGTCTGTGTGCAGAACATTGGCTAGTGGCTTATGCGAACCGCTTTGGAGTTCTGATTTAGTACTTCTTACACGAACAGGCTGCTCGGTGAGTGGAAATGTCCCATTCTCTCTCATTTCCCAAGTAGGAGACGGGCAAAACCTGAAGTTTTACCGACTTGTTGCACTTTTATTAGGGTCACCATAAGTACTAGTAAGCTTGATATGTGATCACATTAAAGAATAACTGAAAAGAAAGGCGGCACTCAAGGATAATTAGATGCACTTCAAAAACCATGTGCTCCTCCTTTCCGACCTATGGCTACTACCTTGGCGTGGTTGTCGGGCTTGTACATCATAATATCCCAACGGGCTATGCTGCCCGGGACGCTTGCTGTCTCTAGTTTTTACCATGCCACAGACATCCTTTGGTTAGTGCCATCGCCCAAGCTACGTATAGAACCTATGATGATATTTGTCTGGGGAATCGTACTGTATTATTAAACAACGATTGTAATAACTAAACAAAGCGGAAGCCTGGCAATGTAAGGCCTTAATCCGGCTGTCGCCATTGGGAAAATCTCACAGAAGGCGTATCAAGAGGATAAAAAGCGGATCAAAGTCTATAGCAAACCGTTGTGAAAGGCACCAAAACGCCGGGGAAGTCAAAAGGCATAAAAGAACAAAAGGGAAGGAGGGAATTCTGGAGGGCATTTGTGGGCAGCACGATATTATCATTATGCGGTCTAAGAAATATACCAGTATACTAGAATTATGACCGATGAACAAGATCTGACTTTAGTGGGACTAAACATTTAAAGTTATGAGTAATGTTAGAAAAAAAGCGACATATGGTACCCTCTGTCAGCAAGCAGTATGAAATCCCGTGTATAAAGCAGGTAGGGCAGTAACATGGAAAAGGAGGAGAGCTAGGATGAAATCAAAAGTCATACTCTGTGAAGGCATTACTTTCTTAATTGTGATAAATCAACATGTAATACCGAGGGTACAGCGATTATGAGAACTCTTGAGTGGATCTGAAAGGTGTAGAAAAATTCGAAAAATGATTTGGTTCTCGGTAAGCCCCATGTGCGTGAGTGAAGTGAAAAAGCGAGATATAAGTACCTCAAATGCGTAACTTGGAAAACTATGCCGAAGTTTTGATGATTTAGCCATGGGAAGCCGTAAGGTCATACCAGCAGTTGGCATGAAAATCAATGCCCAGAGCGGCTAACTCATAAGCTCAACACGGACATTCATGATGTATCACAAGCAACATACTTCGATTTTGCCCATTCGCTATAGCAACTTGACGGTGGGGTCCCAGTGATAAGAGCAGATAGCGTTGGTCGTCACAGATTTAATGAATAATTGACACTTCCTGCCCGGCTTTTTTTATTGTATTCCCTGAAATTAATGACTTCATAATATGCATCGTATTTATTGACCCCAAATGTATTAATCTTGTTTCTCAAGTAATCCCCACTTTCACTTTAAGTTCTCAAGGTGAGGGGAGCAACTTGGGACAGATGTCCTACACCATCCCTATCACAGTGTGAAATGCCAGGACTAGTTAGAAGGTATTTGGGGGGAGTATTGGCGCCCGGTAGAAACACATGGGAAAGGCATAATATAACGGGAGTTTTGTTTAGTCGGAGTAAACGGATGGAATCACTATGTTAATGGAACCGGCTGTCAAGCAACGAGGGGCGCAAGATTTTAATGATGCTAATTAAAGTTGCTGGAACTTATTTTCAGACTATTGTAGACACCCACCACTTTAGCACAACAAAACGAATCACCAACTTGTCGCAGTCCGTAGAATTTTTTTAACATCAGCTATCTGCGTTGACTAGGCTTAGTAAATTTTGTTTTGAGCTGCAGGATGTTATGCAGTGAGGTGAAAAAGCCTAGAATGCTTCAGGAGCGTTTGTGATTTAAGGTTCTTCGTAGGGAGTAACAAAAGGTTAAATCACTTTACCAGAAGGATGCTTTTGAATGTGAATCATCGGATATATACTGCAGAGACTGGAAGTCATGATAGCCTGAGTTAATAAGATTCCTAGCCACAGGAGAGCTGCAACAAGTGAAGAAGGATATATTGGTTACGCGCCCATTGCAAACCACGCAGCCCTTCCCTGTTTATCCCGGGGATGTCTAAGGATGGTTTGTGGTTGGGTGGAACCAGGAAATAATTAGGGTAGCTTGAAACTCAGGGCAAACAGTAATAGCTTGTACATACCTTGGTATTCCCCTCCAAATCAGCTGTCATTTATTTATTTATATATTGAGGTGACCTTGACCCCAATATTGAACGCTGCCTGGTAATGTAGATGGGAAGTTCCCTACGTGAAAATTTATATGATCCAGATGAATAGTTCGCGACAAGTAATTCGTGTTACACGCACCAAATTCGGGATAAAACGGAAGGTGATGTTCATCTGCGGAAATTTCAGTAACGTGGATCAATTCTGAACGTCGCGCGTTTACTTTGGTGACCGCATTCAGTAGTGGGACCGAGTAGAAGCAAGTAGAACCACGCTGAACTCCTGCAAAGCAAATTCCTATGACGTATTCACACTTATAAGCATAAACGCGTAGCGTTTGCATATTTGTCTGTTAATAGCAGTGATATTTCTCACGCTGTGAATGAAACATCAGAGATATAAGTTAACGTCCATCACCATACCAAACATTTTTGGAGGAAAACAACTAATGTATTGTTCGATGCAATACAAAAGACAAGTCACAAGGGACTTCAGCATCAAAATTATCCGAAAGTTGTGATATGTTCGGGAACATAACATCTCTTGGCACGTATATCGCGTTTGTAAAATTTAGATTATTTTCATTATCTGTGCCATCGATAGCTGCCATCAAAGTCTGTATTTGGATTAAAAAGATGTTTTTTAAATATGAACGATCGGCAGCTACATTTGAAGATCACTAAGCTTATCCAGATATAAGCAACATCCTCCCAAATAGATGGTTTTTGGAAGACAACCTTACAACGTTTTGGTCTTCAGGAGGATGTGATCATAAAGTAATTGTAAGCTAGTGTACCTGCAGAAGGCAAGTAACCTCGTCCATAAATAATGCTGTTAAAACGATTAATTTTCCTTCTGTTTCTCGGGATGCCTCGCGTCAGGTCCATTCTTACGGAATGTAAATATAAAACTCATCTTCACGCCTGTAGAAGTCACATCAACTGCATCATTTAGTGCGTCATCATTGGTGTGACGGACTGCCGGAGTTGCTTGCAACATTTCCATGGGTTCCCGAGAATAAATACCCCACTGCTGTTCAAAAATAGCAGCAACCATCTCAAAAAGATGAAGCACTTTTGAGCGGAATCTTTGTGGTGCTTCAAATACTGATGTAACTTTCGTCTCACTGATACATATGCATACACGTACCACTTGAAAACCTTTTTTTGCTGAATTGTGTTATCTCAGCTTTTTCTTATGCATACCACTGCATCACAAAAGTGTTGATACGAAGGGATAGAATGCGTTCACCATGTGGCGTCACACACCTGCCCAAAATCACTGGCCTAGGGTTTGAGCGATTTCACGTTGATGCTGACCTTGATAGTTTAACTGTGCTCGCTAAGCTGAAGGCACTTGGTCAAGCATCCTCGCCATTTGGCACGTCGCCGTGCTATGTTGCACCACCTGCAATCGACTCTCTTGACAGTTAGTTGGAATGCATCGGTATCTGGACACAACCTGGCAAATACACTATCCCATCTGACAACGCTGTTGTGTTGTTTCTTAATCTCGTATTCGTGGGCACATAGCAAGCTCGAACAATTAGTGGTTGGCTTCTGCGTCTGTCAAGTTGGCACCAGGACAATTCTTAAAACTATCCTAGAAACGGTCTTCGCCTCCACACCTCGTTAGTGGGGTTTGCTTCTGGCACGGTGCGTCGTCAAAGCTTCCACTCATCTCATTCGTTGAACTTTATAACAGTTCACAGCGCACCGGTCAAGTACGCTGGATGGCATGAACCAATGGCTCACCAATAACACTTTCTGGTAGGACCAATAAACTACCTGGTAGGTGCTGCGGGGCCCCCTTTTAACTTGCCATAACTTTCCATCATGAATTATGGGGAAACAGCCCTTGTATTACCACGTTCGTCTTTGTGGGCAAGGTCACTTGCATCGTTGCCTGTTTCCGTGCATATTTCAAAAGTTGGATTGGATATGACTGTAGGTATTCCACAGTCTGTCTCTCTTGAAATACCTAAGGTTATTGTTGCATCCCGGTATGCTTAGTCCTTTATTTCTTGGACTGAGTTACCGTACTGCCAGCAAGGGATTCCTCAACAGTCCTAATATTTTCGAATGAAGGAGGAAAGAGTACAAACCAGGTTTCAAAACGTAGCTGTTCAAAAATATTTGGGCCCCCTTAAAAGCACTTTCGATGGTGCAGTTAAGAAATTTATCGCGGGGCTCCTGGCGTCAGGCTAATTGGAAGCCCATTTGTAATGCTGGCACTGCGGGGTTTCGGTTCATGTAAAAAGAACATCCTGGGATAACTCACTCAGAAACTCTGATTTAATTATGTGTTCCTCAGTTTGAGAGACGAACATCACGCCGCAGATAAATGCCAGAACCACGAGTTATCCCAGTTTAACCTATCCAACTTCAGGGTAGGACCAGTTAAGCCTACGAAGCAAACCCTTTTTTCTGGCCTCATGTAGCTTCGCAACAAAGGTAAAGGAAAGAGTTCAGAATGTGTTGTGACCTAGCCCTGAAGGTTATTACGTCAGCATCTGGTCCAGGGAATGTGCAAAGTATCTGCTGAGGGTATCCGCAATGGGTGGCTTCTTTCCAAAAGGAGTAAGGTAGCATGGATTTCGCTTGACCAAGAAGCGGATCCCCTCGTAGCTATGTCAGCTCACGATGTAACAGTTCAACACGGATGAAGTTTTCGAATGTTCAATGAGATAGTTCACAAGCATACATAGTTATAAGGGGATTCCTCAACATCTGAAATATTTTTAACTGCCCTAATGTTCATGCTATTCAGTCTGCTGGGACCATTAAGACAAGGACTACTGCCACAACCTGTTTTCGAAGATATCAATGACGCTATCAGTAGGCCCACCCAGCTTTGTTATGCAAGCATGAAACTCCTGAAACCTGACTGACTGCATCACACTGCTTGTTTCCATATCCCCGTTTATTCTGGGTGGGCTATCCACCAAAGCGACACCTATTCAAGGTTTCTACTGCTTCCTTTGGAAGAACCATATTTATTGCTTATAGTGCAGCATGCAAAACCTAAGTGGCAGTTGTCTGTTTGACCCCAATGTAACAAAAGTAGGAGGCAATAACCTGTGTAGTCTAGATCTGGAATAATGGGTCTGCTTACTGCCGCGAAACAGATTTTGTGTGGCGAGTTCGAAGACATCGATTGCATTTTGTAACACTACTTCCCTGGATATCTAATGGATGATTTTTGAACCTTGAGCTTTCTCAGACCCCTTGCAGATATCGTCCTAACGCCTAAAATAAACTGGAAGCACTTTAGGCTTCATGAGCTTTGAATATGGAATGCCCGGTAAAATACATAGTTCATGTTTGGCACTTAGAGTCCGATGTCAACGATCTATCCTGGACTTGAACAGAGTTGAAGCATACCACTCGTAAGTGTCATGATTTTATGGAGATAACTAAATCCCAACCACGAAAGTTCTAAATTGTTGCAACTGACTCAAGCGGGCAGGAACTATGTTCACGACAGATACTACAACCCGATGTCATCACTCCTATCATTAATGCTACATGAAGAATCATGATAGTCCTTCATTCCCATCAGTAACTCGATTGTGTCCTATTTAATTCAAAAATATGGATTTTTATCTTGTTTATCACTATTATTCTGTGTGAAGCAACAAATTTCAGATGTTTGTGTTTTAGTTCGGCCATGGTATGCGGGGCGCCACGGCCGAAAAAATGAAGTCCAGTGAGAAATCTGCTGGCCACAATAGCAACCCGATTAAATCTTCCAGGTCAACTTCGAAACGGAATGATTTTGACCTGAAAAAGAGGGTTAGCATGTCGCTAGTAATTAACTCTATTCACAGGAAGATGAGGAACGCACTAAACAGGTTTTCGAGGAGTTCGTCGCTACTTTTGAGGAGCCTTCAAAATCTCGTGCTTGGGTTAAAGGTGGTGTTGTTAACCCGGCATCAGGTATTATTCTTGCAAATAAGCTCTTACCTGCAATACTAGGGTCTTCTGAAGATCCGAAAGGGAGTGGTCGTATCTATAGGCCTGTTTCAAAACTTGAAAGGAAATCTGGCAAGACTGAAGAACCGAACAGAACAGATTCAAAAAAGCCTTCAGAGAAACCGGTATGTGAAAAATTTATTTTATCTGTGTCTTCAGCCAGCTATTGGTAAGCGGAAAGGACAAGAACAAAAAAAGTCTAAGTTAGAGCAATTTAAGGAGGAGCTTAAATTGTATGTTACTGTAACATTTCTTCTAAATCCACCGCTAATAGGATCCAACAACAGAGAGAACAAAGGCATGCATTGAGACAGGGAAGGAACCAGTCTTCTACTCAGTCTGAATTGGATCTTTCGGATGTGGGAGTTCGTAACCGGGATTATCGTAAGGGTTGTTCAAATTCTCAGACTGGAGATATGGGAATGGGTTCACACGGTAACACAGCTCCTCCGAGCTTTTATTCGAAGCGAAGTCAAAGTGACCGGCACGATGGCAAGTCACTAAACTATAACTAATTTTGTTTAGTCGATTATCCATATGATTACGATGGTGACAGAACGACTACTAACTTATTTCTTGGGAATCTTAACCCTAAGGTATCCGACAAATTTTCAGTTGTTAACGTATTCAGATGACTGAGCAACAGTTGTGTGAAGCATTTGGTCGTTATGGTCCACTGGCAAGCGTCAAGATCATGTGGCCCAGAACAGAGGAAGAGCGTTCAAGGGGCCGAAACTGTGGATTCGTTGCTTTCATGAATCGAAAAGATGGCGAAAGGGCTCTTGACAATATCAGAGGTCAGTACAATCATTTAAATGTAGTAAATGCTGTACCATAAGTCTAGTTCTTTATTGTAAACTACCGTCCTGAAATATTAGACACGCCGTAATATCCTGATGAAAGTACGTTCTGCGTTTGCCTCTCGTAAAAACCAGTTCCTTCCAAACATTTCTATGAGCCACAGTAATGACAATTCTTATATTGTCATACTGGTGATTTAAGGTCATGGTTTCATATCTGCCTCATGGTTGTGTTGTTCGGACGGTCTATTGTAGTCTTACTCCAAAAATTCCTACAGGCATTCTCTTGTATACTTTTGGTTCTGGGTGGAATGGTCTGGAGATATATTTTATCTACATTCTCACAGTCTGTTATGGTGCCTAGACGACTGCTGCCGCAGTCGGATTGTGTAAATACGAGACCTATTTAATAGAGTATAATTCTTGACAGATCTGTAGATCTTTCCCAAATGTTTATTTATCCGTGTTTGCTAGTCGAGTTGTTTGGATGAGGCAATCCAAAACGGTAAACAGGGTCCTATTTCTAAGCAGAACTAATTGGCACGTAATGTATTGGCTCATGAATTCGCTCCACTGCTTCTGTTTGAACTGGGATGTTTCGTGGCATTCAAGTCTTTATTTACTGAAGATATGAATTGCAGGTCTGTTCAGTCCCCTAGTGTGGCTGCTATGGTACTGGTTTTCTAAACGTTAACGGATCACCACACCAGTAGCATTTGACTTAAACATGAACCTGGTCAATAGTTTACCACTTACCTCACATCTGTTCCCTCACCTGATGATGACTGAATTTGGGCATATAATTAGCCTTGGAGCTGTGGCTCATCTAGGTAGACTTGTAACCGATGTCACCTGTTTAGACCTGACTCCACCTACGGAGGTCTGAGCGAGATAGGTAGTACCACTGCCTCACGCACCGGTTAGGGCTAACTACCCATCTGGCAAATATGTGCACGATGATGGGGCGCATCTCAACTCATGGATTGTATTAATTCGACAAATGCCAATCTGAAATGTTCCACAAGTGAAACTATTTGTAATGCTGTTCCGTAAAATCACGTATAGCTCGTTCCATGGAAATGTATTTGAAGTCCAGGTGTTTGAGTGATCGAAACGTTTTACATGAGTTATCTTATGGGTACATGTGTCGTCATTTGTATTGGCAGTCAACGTTTTGATAAGGGGTCCTTGTTTTGTGCTAAACCGTTTGGTGTCGGGTGACCTGGTGCTTTTGTGTAGCTGCAATTATAGGTTTGGTATTCTGAAACTCCTACAGTACGATGTGTGTTAGAAAACTGCTTTCAAATCTGCAGGATCCGTTTCATAAACCGCCCAACCGGTGCATTCACATTCCGTAATAGCCTATCACTGTGCCCATTTCTTAAGTTCAACGTCTAAATGTTAGTTTGCATGAGACAGGATGAGAATTAAACTTGACTTAATCTGGTTTTATAGAAAGACAGAAGGCTAACAGTCGTCGTTCTGTCATGAAGGTAGTTTCTAATTCAATCGCTAACCATGTCCCTAATTTCAGAGCTCCCTAGTTTTTTTCAAGGGACCTTTGTGAGAGAATACTAAAGTTAGTAAATATTACACCAATTGATTTGTTTACGTATGTCATAGTGCAAACTTGCCATGATGTGTTAAGTAAGTCTCCGGACTGAAAAACCATGTTCCAAAACCCGCTGCCTACTCTCTTAAGAATGGATGAAATTAATACTGAATGATCTTGTCTCATAACTTGATGGCTACACATCGGACTAAAATCGGGCAGACAGGATCAACGTAAAATCTTGCACGCAAGTGCATCGGCTCAAGTTGCCACACTTCACAGTAGTACAAAAAGCACAGGTGGATAGGAATGGAGTGATATCAAAGTCAACAAAGTTGTGTGAGAAAACAAGCAGTTAGAAGATGAAGGTTAGTGCGAATATTCAAGCTTTAGAAGACGCCGAAGAGTGAATACATCTACCCCACTGCTATGTCACCTAGTCCTCAACCACTGATTCCTTTCGTTTCGGTGATTCTAGCCAGTTAGTCTACATCTCGCAAACGACTCAGACGAATAGCCTGGTGCTATGTCATGACCTGGCCACTGAACCCTCTTCCAACCTAATCCAGCTTCCCCTAGCATGGCACATCGAGGAAGGCGGTGACTCGGTATCCGTAGCACATGTCTGTTGGCGAACTCTATTGTATTTCTGCTTCTAAATTCACACGGTACTTTGTTTGTTCAACGTTATGGCTTAGTGATCAACTACATAATTCGTACTTACTAACCATCTAGGAAAAGCGTTTTTATAAATACAACCTGGCACGGTTTCATGTACCAGATTACAAGCAGCATTTGTTGTGAAGGCCTATGATATTGTCCCGTTATCCAGATCGAAGAAAGTAAGTCCAGGTTCCAACGGAGTCCCTCAGAGATTGCAACTTTAGAAACTGTGAAGTCCTTGAAGGGGGTCCTTGTGGGGGGTTATATCAATCATGTATCTAATAGTATTTGGAGTCACCATACTAAGTTAACATTATATATGGATTGTTTATCTCAAAAATGTGACTCATTGATTTAGAAAGTTGACTTTCAAACAATAGGTTCCGAGTTCAGACTCTTCTCCACTTATCAAGATCTAGGTAGCCTGGCAATATCACTGTCTTTCACGCAATATTTGTGGCTCGTAATCTAGTAGACAAACCTAAGAGGGTTGAGATACATTATCGTCTCAAACTTGAGTTTATACTATATGTTGACACACGTGTCTCGCATATTTTTGTTCGAGATTATATGTGAGACTGTAATTCTCTCAGTAGCTTAAGATTGAAATAAATTCATAAAATTCGAGTAGTGTTTGTTTTGAGGTATTTCAATTCGTTTACTTTTTCTGTTATTACAATAGGGTGTTCTAGGCTTTCTTTTTGATATAATTCCCAGACAGACGTAATTATTTTATTCACATTGTGCATCAAATCAGTGTGCAACATGATTTGGTAATATTAGATCTAATTTTGTGTAATATATTTTGCATTTCAAACACATCTTTGTGAATATTTCGGTTTGCAGGGAAAGAACTCATGGGTTTTGAGATGAAATTAGGATGGGGAAAAAGTGTCCCAATACCTCTGTATCCAGTTTACATTCCTCCTGCACTTCTTGAGTTGGTCAAACCTCCTCCTCCAAGTGGATTACCATTCAACGCCCAACCAAGGGAGTGGTTGAAATCATTTCGTTTGGCCATAAAAGAGCGCGCTAAACTTGTAACTGATGGTGTGGATAGTGACAGTGCACCACCACCTCCAGCTCCAGACAGGAAGCCATTCGATGTCAACAAGATGTCAAACGAGGAACTCACTGAGGTACGTACTTAATCTTATCACCTTTGGAATATCTTTGAAGTTTTTCTTCATGTGATATTAGTTAAGGTTGTTCACTTCACATGATGCACTCCTAACTTTTGATGATGACTGGCAACTTTTTACTGCAAGCTGTTTCTTCCTTCGTAGATGTGTTAGGTTCATTGGTTCATGCCACTTAACCTTGGTGAAGTATCTGATTGCCTATTAACAATCGAGTATTGTACTGGACACCAGTTCGCTCTATCCTACATGGCCACTAAAGGTTGAGTGAAGGTAAAGGCTTCAGGTATTTGACCACCGTTAATTTAGAAACATTACCGACATGTGAAGCTACCACGTTAGGAGTACATGTGTTGGACGTGGAGTTCAAGGTAAAAAGGCTAAATAAGCTGATGAGGCTGCGAATTTTTATGGACATCACTGGGACACGTTACGTGTGCATAATCACCATCCACCTGAATACGGTATCAGCATAAGTAGGCCTAAATTAACAAAAGACTGAAGATGGTTTATCTAAAACATGACGTCAGTCCATGAGGTCTCTGACTGTTGGTGTTGTTAGTCCTGTAAAACAATGTAAACTTCCACAGTAGGGTATTAAAATGGCGGGGAATATTTGTAGCTCAGGTACATAATCTTGGACTAACTTAAAATTAGTGCTGACGTTGGCTGAAAAGACAATGAAAGCTCCATGACTTAACCACCCAGCTCAGAGAACACAACCAAGAGTAGGATATACATGATAACAGATCTCGATAGCTGGGGACTAGTAGAGATTGGTCAGAATCGACGTCAGTGCAATAGATACGTCCATCTTTCTGCGTCCTAATCATTACGTCACATTTCTCCATTCGTCCTACCCCTTTTTCTATTACAGCTTCCTGGGGGTTGTGTTTATTTTCCTTTCATTTTCTTACGTTGTATTTTGACCTGTTGATGTAAAGCACGACAAAATGAACCGTTACACAGTAATACCATATCCTACGTTGGTACTGTTTGGCTCTTGACCGTTTTGTGCTGTCAGCAATTCATCACACTTGCGGTTATATGAAGTGTTACTCTGTACCTGGCTGTTGTGTAACTAAGCTTCTACGCACAGGTTCATTTACTCGTCTATCAACCTATCTATTATGTAGGAACTTGTGAGACATGGTTTCTAAAATTTCTGTACGTGGTCCGAACCTATGTTCCCTCTGTAAAACGTTGATAACCTAAACCAGAGACAACTCAGGGGTCCACGGGACAAGAGGAACCAGTGGTTGGAGACCGTAGGTGATATGGCTCAGAACCGAAGTCAGTGGCGCAGATGTATACACACATTATCCTCATCTTAACAACGCTATACCGAATCTCACCATTTTGTCACTCCTCTTTCCTTTCTTCTCGTACTTTATATTTCTTTTGACTGCATTCACTTATCTTCATCCTTCGCCTCACTACCTTTTTACTTGATGTGCTGATATGAGGTGTGGCAACTCGGACCGTTACGCAGTAATGCCTGGTCCTATGTTGATAATGATGATGATGATGAGAGACAACTCAGCAACCCACTGGTAAAACATCTTGCAACTAATTGTATGCAGTGTGGGTCTATGGATCACTATTGTCTATTAGTTTCAATATTGAGCAGTGTGTCTACACCAACTGGGCTTGAGTGACATTCTAACAAAGCTTGCATTTCATTATTTTGAGCTGATCTTAAGAATGACCGTGAAAACCGTATTCAACAATTGTTGATATTTCACTGACGTGTATCTGCGTTCTATTTCATATGCATTAACTAGCCACCTAGAAAACTTATCAAGTCGATATTAATACTCAAAATGTAAGTTTTATCACTTGATTCTGATCACTTTCTCTAAATCTGTCTATCTGGAAAACATTCCATCAATTTAAGATTCTGTCCTTCACAACAGCTCAAAAACAAAAAGTAAACGGAATTAAAGTAATGTCAACCGAGATAATATTAGGGGATTTAAAAGAAATACACGAAGGCTAACTCAAAGTTTCCAGGTTGCTAAAAGGAGGATGTATTTGTTTCATTTTGATCAACGTTAAACCGTATTTCTGAGTTCGTAGTACGTGATTCCTAGCATCTTGACAGCCATCGCCATGTGAACGATACTTGCCTTTGTGATTCAGGTCAAAATTGTGGGACTTCATTTGTTCAATTCACCTAATAAGTTCCTCAGTCCTAATGGTTAATGAGTAATTAGATCTGTGGGCGAATACAAAGACTTGTTCAACTGGAGCCTACTTTTATTTCTTGTGTAATTTACAACATCGCGTTCTGTCGTACTGCACGGATGTGAAGATGGTGAATTTGTCTAGCCTTCTAGCATTTGGTCAATCGTCCATGTTGTAATTACCATATCGGAAATACGGAAGCTATGTTTAGTGTATCGAGCAAAGGTAAAGCAATGATAAGTTCGTGCATATTGGAATGGATTAATGTATCTGATTAAAGTTAGCTGGAAACCAGTGGTTAAAGATTTATGGCGGTGTACCGCAATATCGATTGCATAATCAAAAGTGAATCCGTTCTACACCATTTGAATTTAAAAATCGTTATCACACGTCTTTATTTCTTTTACCTTTCCTTCTGTTTTATTATTTCCTAGTTGCTAGTGTGTTTTCTTCAGTTTTCATCGTTTCATCCATTGAGTTCACCTAATAAGCTGATGTAGAAGGTGTGAACTTGGGCCACAGCACAAATATATCGGTGCTTAATCTATGCTTATTTAGGATACCGACAAGAAAAAGACGACAGTGGGTGAAACCATCACCGAAAATGATGAAACGCTGGTAACTTTTCAGGATAGATGACTGGAAAGTTGGGCAGAACACTTAAAAGCACGGTTCAACTGGCCCCCAGCAACGCTCCAGTTGTCCAACATCCAACCTGAACCTGAATGGGACGTAGACGTCGACCCCCCAGGTCGAACCTGAAACGATGTAAAGCAGCAAAACTTGACCGTTTGGCATCTGAAGTTTTTAACGTTGGAGATAAATTGCTTACTAGGTTGACGGAGGTACTGCGTAATGTATGGGAATCAGAGGTAGTACCATGAGACTGGTGTACTTCACTGATTATCCCAGTCTGTATGAAGGGAGAAAAATCTTGTGACAACCATAGGGGAATTAGTTTGACTACCGTTGTGTCCAAGATCTTAGGCTCCATAGTTATCCGACGCCTAACTGGAGCTCGAGAACAACAAACTCGAGAAAACTAGATAGGTTTCAGACATGGATTAAAGTGGATCGATCATACTCTCACCCTCCGATAAGTTCTAGAACACAGGCATACCTACGGACACTTGCCATATCTCTTGACCCGAAGGTGGCATTTGACTCATTCGACGTGAGGTGTTGCAGAAGTGTCTGGTCGTGAAATGGGTACCGAGAAAGTGTGCAATGCTCATCAAAGCTGTCTACTCGAACTCACGGAGTCGTGTCATGGCTCATGGAGAGTTGTCAAGTGAGTTGACGACAACTAGTGGTGTTTGCGAGGGATGCCCACTATCACCATTTTTATTTAACTTCGTCGTTGACGTAATAATAGACATAACCTTAGGTACATCTGACACCACATGAATTGACCTACTGCCTGGAGGTCTTCTGGTTGGCTTGAAGTACGCAAATAATGTTGTCCCTCTAAAAAAAGACGCTGACGCAATGCAGGGGCTTCTGAACGCCTTGAGCAGAAATCTTAGTATTTTGGGATGATAGAGAATATTTATAGTTCAGAAGAATAATTTTGAAAGCTTCACGATCAAACAATCCAGCTCAGAGAGCACGACATCAGTAAAAGAAATCTTAGTTTTTTTTTGAGTTGACTATCTAGATAGCCGTAGTTTGGCAGACTAGTATTTGTACTAGGTGATGACTGAAGGTGAGATGGAAATCCGGCCGCGGTCCAGATTTCCATCTCACTTTCAATCATCACCCAGTACAAATCTTAGCATTTTTGACTAACATGTGTTTCGCTTTCGGTTGTCAAACGTAAAATGATGCTTCAGGACTGGTCTGTTACAAGTACTCCCAGTCTAATGATAGAGAGTGAAGAGACGGGATATGTTGACCATTTCACTTAGGAAGTTGTATTAACCCGAACGGGTTGGTTGCTGACAGAATCTCAGCTCAAATACGGAAGGTCCGTTTGGCGTTTGCCAGCTTGCGTCATCTGTGGCGTTAACTGGCAAGAAGTCAGACTATCTGTCAAAGGACGAGTATACTGCGCTGCAGTTCGTCCTGTCCTGTTGTACGGCTGTAACACATGGCCGTTGAAAGTAAACGACATGAAGCGATTGCAGGGTTTTGACTACGGATGTCTTCGTAGTACTGCTTGCGTTTGGTGGAATCACCGTGTGAGCAATGTTAACGTCAGATGAAGGGTGGTAGTCAAAACAAGTTTTTCGATTGATGAGGTTAAGTAATGTGTATGTGGAGCCACCACCTTCCTCGATGTGCCATGCTAGGGGAAGCTGGATTAGGTTGGAAGAGGGTTCAGTGGCCAGGTCATGACATAGCACCAGGCTATTCGTCTGAGTCGTTTGCGAGATGTAGACTAACTGGCTAGAATCACCGAAACGAAAGGAATCAGTGGTTGAGGACTAGGTGACATAGCAGTGGGGTAGATGTATTCACTCTTCGGCGTCTTCTAAAGCTTGAATATTCGCACTAACCTTCATCTAACTGCTTGTTTTCTCACACAACTTTGTTGACTTTGATATCACTCCATTCCTATCCACCTGTGCTTTTTGTACTACTGTGAAGTGTGGCAACTTGAGCCGATGCACCTGTGTACAACGTTATACATTGATATTCTCTGTCGGTTATTCTATCTAAATCTATCTGCTCATTCACTCAGGATGGTTATTCAGTAGGATAGCCTGCTTTTGTTTATTTGTCACAATTTTCTGAAGGTACTTTAGAAAACCACACCAAAGCAGTCAGTTCTTCTGGTGGATGAAACGTAGGTGTCTTTGCTTTGTGTAGTTCATAACTGTTTCTATTTAACCACGATTGGAAAAGGAGAAATATTTATCTCTTTCAGTTTTTCAGACCAAATCAGTGACTTAAAACACTGAGAAAAATGTTAATTGGTCGAAGTTTCAGTAGATTACTTGACGTACAACCTTTTCAAAATCACTCATTATCTTGCGACACAGTCTTTTCGTCAGTTTCATTTTCCATGAGTGCAATTTTTATGGACCCGTCATGAACTGCTACAAATTCTTGCCATGCTATAGATGTCACAAGAGTGCCTTTAATTTTTTCGTAGCTATTCTGATACGTGAATATTTAGTCAATCATGCACATGCTATCCCAGCTCCATTCGATAAAAGAAACTCAGAGGAACAAATAATATTGTTTTCAATTATTTCTTCGGGTTCTACAGTTATGTTTATATTGTGTGATTTTGCATTTACAACAATGACATTTCCTATGTACCGGGTTCCCATCAACCTGCCAAAAGTTACCCGACCCTAGATTCTTTAAACATCAAAACCGGTCGCAATCAGGATTCAAAAACTCGAGTTGTGTTAGCCGCTGCAACCACTTTGACTTCATTCGGGATTGACGAATTCCCAAGTGCCCCTAATCTAATTTTCAGCTTCTCCACTGTAGATATCTCATCCCTATAATTTGAAATAACTTTACTGTATTGTCTTAACTTGTTTTGTTCTCTAGCGTAAGTAGCGTTTCACTAAGTTAGTATTCCTGTAATTAACTATCTTTTTTTATCACTTTCTACTTTCATGCACATACCTATTGTTTTTATTAGACTTGCTTTATTTACCAGATTAAACATTTACACTCTACCACATTTCCACCTTCTACTTGTGATAGGCTTTATTCGTATAACTTTCATCATCTAAGTTTATATGATTTTCACCTTGAATTGTTACGTATAATCGTTTATATAAAATTATTTTGAACGGAATTCAAACGAGTGAATCACGGGTTGGAACACCGCTCCACCTACTGAGGTTTGCGCTTTCAGGTAGTATCATTGGTCGTCACACAATACGCGTGGCTCGTTGCCTACTCTACAGAAGGTTGCTGAAAGCATTTCGATTTTTTGGAATAATTGATTATAACATTACGGTTCACACAAGAGTTTCATGGATTATATTATTGACCAACTGTTATAGATCTCACTATTGTTAATGCAAAATTGCACTATGTGAACCTACAGTTGTAGAACCCGAGTTCACATAACTTTTAAATTATGATGGCAGTTTATTAGGTTAGTTGGTTTAATAACATGGAACTATACTCTATTACAGCACCCAGGTTTTACTCAGAAATCCCAGCTTACTTTTTCTGTTACTACAAACTAGTTATTTTTCAATGTTACTTGTAATTCGCTCTAACGTGGTAGACATTCTGAACTCATAATAAAGATACTATTACATAGCCTCTTATTAGACGTTGCATACATATTTCTATGGTGTATGGCAAATTTTTAAGCTTGTGTGTTTGTAAGCTAGTGTAAATCATTAATTACACATTTACAGTAGTGATAATGTTAATATTTATGTTCAACATAATTAATTTGAACTTTCGTCGCACATGCACGCTTTCTGCCAATTTGAAGGTCCTTCGTGACGCAGTGGTTAAGGTCGTTATGCCAAGCGACAGGTAAGTGCACATCGGTAACCTGTTGTATTTTTATCGTAATTTTTTCCAAACTTCAGATCCATACTTGCTCTGATCCATCGCATGATTGAATTTGTCGTTCTCGAAGGTCCTAGATTTGAGGCTGCGATTATGCATCGGGAAGCGAATAACCCCATGTTTAAGTATGATTCTCTTTCATAATTCCATTTATTACGGAAATTATTTAGATTTCTTTTTGACTATCAATCTTCGGAGCATGTTTACTATCGCTGGAGGTTATGGTCTATTCTACATGTAAGTTTACCACTCGTTTGCTCACTATTTGTTGTCTTGGAAATGCGTACTATTCAGAATGTATTATTATAAGAACCTGATGTGGACAAATTTTATTGCCACAAATACTAATTTAAAATAAAATCAAAAGGCTTGAACTTTCTGACATTAACACTGGTATTTTGCCCAACTCTCAGTGAGGAATCGGCCGAAATAGTCGGGGAAATATAACATTGGTTTACTATGCTGAGTAGTGAAAAGTTATGAAGTTAGTATCGAAAATAAGGATTATAACTTTCGTTTTAATAGTAGATTAATTATTCTGGAAACTGAATGCACTCTGCAGTCTCTCCTGTGCTGACCATCTTATTTGTGACGGAAGGACCGAGAGCTTTTAATTCCCGTGTATACATCAGTTCAGTGTTTACTTTCCTATATGACAAAGAAGAACTTCGTTTCTGCACGACTCAATGCTGTTTGTGAAAACTGTACATTGTTTTAGAAAACTTCTGAAAGCTCTTACTATTTGCATAACGGACGCTAACTAGAGGGATTCATACTTCTCTATTCTTCGGATGGAAAAATAAACCCACTGTGATCATAGGGAAGAAAAGACGGTTTCTGTGAAAACTGCTTTTGAGCAAGTTCATTTTCCGACCTGATTTTCCTTAAACGCATGTGTAAGGGTGTTCCATTCCGAAATGGATTTCATTCCAAAAATTTTTTATTTAGGAGGTTACGGAGTTGGAATGTACCGTGATATGGTAATACGTTTTTGATGCTCCATGATCATCTTGATCTGTCTAGAGATCACTGTTGATCGATGTGAGAGGTCTAGAGCGACTGATATCAATCAACAGTATATTATATGCAGCTTCATTTCTAGTTTGTCTTTCATAGGTGTCTAGAGTGATTGTCACATCCAGTACATGACTTAGTAATAAGCTTTATTCAAAAAGTTAGGATAAAATGCACCGTGAATCAAGTTGTTTGCTGCAACGATGAGAACTGTATGCAACAACTGCGCAAACTTTTGTCAAGAAATTTAAGATGTAAGTTTTTGTGTAGTGCACTGAAAGCAGTTTTAAGTATCGTTAAAGTTTTCTTCCAAGTGTGCAGGTGCATTTATGTGCTCAGCTTCACCAACAAACTCTATTTAATTAAACAAGGTCATGCGAATGTTACCTGTCTATGTTTACTTGAATTTGCCTTCTTATTCCTAATTTTCGAAATAATCACTTTAAATTTATCATGCTGTCTATATATATTATCTAAGGGTGAAAGTGTAACCAAATGGCGTACGGAGGAATTTCGGATGTTTGAAGGCGGTCCACTTTGGCGTCCGCCTCCTGTGAACTTATTCTCAGGTGGCATGCCTGACGATCTTGTTGAAGAGGATGATTATCCTTATGCACCAGGATATGTTCCACCGCCTCCAGGGAGACGACGTGAATCTGAAGACCTGTGAGTGCGGTCAGCTGTTTTGTCTCAGTTCACTGGAACACTAATGTGTGGTGATTTTCTCCTTTATTCTAATGTAAACTGTATTTCTGCACTTTTACTTGTATTTCTCTGTGGAATATCTTCAGGATTTGTAGATTTTTAAAATGTTTTCTTATTTGCAATTTCGATTGTATCTTAGCATGATGTTCTCCGCGAACTTACTTATAGCCTGTTTCCAAAACTGAGTAGATGAACATGTCTATTTTGTGCTATATACCTCCACGATTCAATGTAGAAGTCTCGGATCTACAGTAAAATATTTTACCGTTGTTAGTTTACTAAACTTCATGCATTAGTTATGTGGATTGTAATTCAGTACATTTAAGGCTGTTTAGCTGTATTTAAAAGGGACAGATAATTTATAGATCATCATGAAGACTTTTGGCTTGAGAAATTACTCGCTTTGGCAGGGAATATATTTGCTTCATCTTTGTTAAAAGCAATAACGGTCTCTGGAACGATTATAACCCTTTTAAAAAGCTAAGAACTTTGGTAAATTGGTTATCATCTAGGAAACAGTTTTAGATGTTGAATGTTTGGTTCCTATGGTACCAAACAACTGAGTTTCATTATAATTTCATTGACAATAGTTAGTTGTCATAATTTTAAATTGAAAACTAAGTTTGCCTGAAGTAGATAGTGAGAACGCTTTGGTTACAACATGAGTGAAAAAGACATTGCTAAATTGTAGAAGCAAACAACTGAATTTTGAGAAAGAATTTACCTGAGATAATCTGTATTTTAGGTGTGATTACAAGGCAGTTGGTTTCAAGTTAAGTGGATTTAGCCTGTCTTTGACTTTTTTATTTGTTAATGACAACAGAAAGTTCGTGGTAGTTGAATAATTTCTTATTTGATTTAGGAATAGTTTAATTGTTCTAATTTTTGTCGCTCAACTCAGAATTATTTTAGGATTTGGACTTTTTCCTTCTTATTTCACATATTTCAGACAAGAAGAAATTCGTTTGGAAGCTGCTGCTGCATCACGTCGTTGTGGTTTGACAGAGGCACAACGTGGTCGCTTTACTCAAATGCTAGAAGATCTTGAACCTTGTCGTATTAAGATCGGCGAGGTCATGGTTTGGTGTTTGGAACACGCTGATTCCGCTTCTGACATTGCTTCGTGTATAGTCGATTCTGTTGCTTCAAATGTGAATTCACTTCCAAACCCGGAGAAAGAAACAACTTCAGATGAAAATCCTATTCTAGACTCGAATGCCAACCGGGACTCACCAGATCGGGAAAAATCACAGTCAATAAGCATAAATAAATTGGTTGCTCGTTTATTCTTAGCTTCCGACATATTATATAATTCCTCAGCTAAGGTTCCAAACGCTTCTTTCTTCCGAAAATGGTACGTTGGTCGTATTTTTCATATTTGAAATTAGTAGTCAAGCCGTTAAAATGAAAGTAAGATCAGACATTACTGCATAACGATTCAGATTGCCATACCTCATCAGTACATCAAGCAAGAAAGCGCTAACATCAGGGATTAGGAAACAGAAGAGTAGGCAATCAAAAGTAGTAGAAAGTCATGTAAAGATAACAAAGGAATAAGCAGTTACTGAATCTAGTATAATGATTAAAATGAGGGTAATGTGTAAATACATCTGCGCCACAGATGAATTCACAGTCATATCACCTAGAGTCTCCAAACACTGCGCTCCACTGCTATGTGGACCTCAACCAGAAAGTCTACATTTTCCTACATAACAGACTATCAGTCACAGACTCCAGGGACATTCCATATTTTAGCCTGTCCGCCCACGGCCTTTTTCCAGCCTAAACGTAGTTCAGTTATGTGTTACGGGGTAGACGGTGACTAGGTATGAGTAACACATGTGTTAGCCACCTGGTCAGGTCAAGGTTCGTAACCTCACCAACAGGCTTTCTTTTCTTCCCTAAAACTGCCATCTTTAGTCTGCTGTGCTATCTTCAGTCTGCTGCCAAAGCAGCGTTGAAGACCGTAGCCGACTCCAAAATAGTGCTAAAAAGAGCCAGTGGATATCAGCAGCTTCTTCCGAACTAATGGATGCACATGAACGCATCCCTGCAGGCTCTGAGTACAATGAAGAGCGAGCGCAACTTAAAAGTAGATTAAGAAAAACTCTACGCAACGATCGCGAACAGTGGTGGGCAGCGAAGGCTAAAGAGATGGAAAAGGCAGCAGCTATTGGTAGCACTAGACAGTCATTTAGACTTATTATGGGAACTGGGGGAGGGAGGGAGGGGGAGGTCAACAACAGTTAATGAGGCTATAGCAGAGAAGGACGGATCTGCTATTCACTCGCAGAGGAGACGACTGGAACGATGGGCAGAACACTTCGAGGAACAGTTTAACTGGCCTCCAGCCACCATCGCGTTGCAACATTGAGATATGCCCCCAAATACTAGCGGAGTTGAGAAAGCTGTAGGTAACCTGAAACGAGGAAGGGCGGCATGACCAAACGGACTAACTCCATAGGTGTACAAGGATGGTGGTAAGGTGCTCTTAGTCAGGTTAACGGAAGTGTTAACCAGTATATGGGAATCAAATACGATCCCCTCTGACTGGTCTAAATCACGGCCTTTCAGGTTTAGAAGCGGATTGTCGGTTGAAAATGTGTAACTTTATGATATTGGGGAATACGTTTGTTAACTTTTGGATTTGTTTCCCATATTCGCATTTTCAATCGTGGGTTATTAGTTAAAAAATACCGTATGTGGTTTCACTGTTTCTTTCTGTCTGGAAGGTATGTGATTCACTGACATAAGCACTTGGATTTTAACTAGTTCATTCCAGCTTCAAAATCTAATGCTCTCCTAACCGGGAAGCCGAACAGTGTCGTAAACGTCTATGCCTCTTAGGGCATTGAATCTGTAGTTAGTTGCTGAATTTCATTATATGATAAATCACATCTTGGAATCTTCGGGCAATGCGTATTTGTACTACTGTTTCGATTAAATCTTGCTTGGTTTCATTGTTGTGCCTTTCCATCATACTGCTATATTTTCTGTATAGAATCTACAGTTCTATTCATTTTCGGGGCGGGAGGGCGTTACTTATTTGTATTTCGTAAATGCTTTCTTCGCGCGTTATATCTAAAAGTTCTTGTCAAGTTGTCTTTCATTTTTTGCCTCATTGTTAATGGATACACAGTACTCAAATATGATGGGAAAATATTACTGGATGTATTAAGCCGTCAGTATTTACCAAATATCTGATTTCCCTATTTTTGTCTTATTGATTCTCCATCTAGTTTCGAAACCTGTTTGCCAGATATGTTCAAAAATTTGAATTCCCACTACAAGAATGTTGAAGGCAAATTAAAGCTGAGCAGTTGAAGGTAATTTTTGTTCCGTGCTTTACTCATACACTTGTTGTAGCAAAAGGTGATGCTTTGTTTCCGTGCCTGGGAGGATTGGGCTGTATATCCTAATGAATTCCTTATCAAATTACAGAATATTTTCCTTGGGCTTGTATGTGAGGTGAGTTTACTTATACTGTACCTGCGAATACATTATACTTCATTGATTTTGTATAGCTTCTGTTCCTAATATTTAGTGTTGTGAATAATTGTAAATTCCTTGTTTTTGAATTGTTCGTCAGTTCAATTTACTACGTTTCAACTCAAAACATCTCATGAGCAGTCGACTATAGGGAAAAGGTAACCTAATGTAAAGTGTCTGCAAATATAAAATCCTTTAAGAGAAAAAAAGATTCAAGTCATCAACATAAATGAAGAGTTCTATTTAAATTAGATAAGGTTTAGATGCATGTAATTGATCCTGAGCTATATTAATTAGGGTCTGTAGTCACTACAGGGTACCCAAGGGAAAGGATTCGGTACACTTTTTGGCTTAACCTCTTGATATACCTAATATTAAGAAAACGGTTTTGTCTAACAGTCTGTAGCATCAGATATTCTTGTAATAATTTCGAAAACAGTAGGAAACAGTGGTATCAGTTATCTGTCCATGAAATAAAACGTAACCGACGACTAAATATGTTAAGTGTTACCATCAGAATTGAATACTGTTGCGCAGATGCATGTAACGCCTTATATTCCTAATTGTTTGAGTTTATATCAGATTTCGTTATTTGCCCTACCCTTTGTTTTCGTATTTCATCTTGTTGCTTCATGTTTTGTTGTGCTCTTGTGAAGTGTGCCAAATTAGGTCGTCATGGACTCCCATTTTGATATTTAAGGAACTGACTTTCAAAGTGTGTCACACTCAGAAAGAAACTTAAAGAGATGCCTTTTGTCAATGAAACGAATCTGTATGTCATTGCATCATTCTGGATTTTTACTAGTTTTTTATGCTACTTTCAATTCACGATGTAAATGCTTGATAAGTGCAGTCTTATCAATTTTGACGTGTAGTGCTCAGTGTTCAGAACTACCCAATTTTACGTACATAAAAACCGTTGGTAGCGAATTTTCTGCTTTAATTTTTCTTAATTAATGCTAATTTGAGCACTAGTACCATGGTGTAGGCAGAAACAAGAATGCATGAGTTGAAACTGCCTCAGGTTGTGACACAGTATAGAATGATAAATTTAACAGAAATGGAAAATATTTTGAGATGAATGGGGATTTTTCATTTAGAGGTAGTATTCATCATGGACTGACATCAGTTGGGGAACCATTGGAAATGGAAAGGCTTAAAAATGAATAAAAAGAATACGAATGAAAGGTCGTGGATAAATTAGGAGTCCAAGTTATTTATAGCCTAAAAATGAACACATCATAAAGAGTACGGAAACCTCGACTAGACTGTTATGACTTCCTTACACAATTCAAATCAGCGGTTAGTGGCCTCATAAAATTGGTATGTGTTTTGATTTAGTTATTCTTAACCGTATTCTAACTCAATCCCATGGATCAGAATGAGTTTTGGTTAGGTGACATGGTTTGGACTCGAGAACACAACACAAATACTGACAATGACAGTATACTACACCTTATGGGTAAATATATGGTGTGTTGTTCTCGTCGACAATACCGTTTATAAGATTATCAGAAGTGTGTCCTAAGTAGGTGACAAGGTAAAGCTAATTCATCTGTCTTTACTGAAGTTGTCATGGCCTATTTCAGTGTTGCATTTTGTTTAACTTTTATTGAAAAGGAGTTTCTTTACTCTAAACTTGAGGCATTACCATTATTTCGTTCTTGATCTACTGTTTTTGTCTAGGCTATCGATGATGAAGCTGATCTCGCTGGTGTCCCGTTAAATTTAGACGAAGATGAGCAGAATCTAAACTCCACTAAAAAAGTTGGATTCCTAAACCCAGATGTAGAAGTTTTGGAAAGCCAACCTCTAGTTCAGTATGATGGTGATCCATTGGATGTTGATGGAAGTCCTTTGGATAATGAAGAATATCGATCGCCATCACCAATTCGGTGTGTAACTCAAATTCTTTAAGATTATTTATTGACTCTATATGGAAAGAGGCTCCCGCTTCTGCTTTCGATTGTACCTGGATTTCATGGATCATGTTGTCCAATTATGAAGAGATTTTTTTGGGGCGCTGTCCAAATTGATTGTTGTAAATCAGTTAACATAGTCAAAGAGACCAAATATCATCACATCTATGTAGCACGCTGGTTCATAGATATTGACTTATTCTTTGATGGTTAATGTTATTACTGTTTATTTCAGAGAAAAATAATAGCATATCATTACGGATGTGTGTCATCAAAACTATGAGCTAGGATTTGAGGTAACTTCATATATCTTACGAAGCTCTTTCCAGTCAGTGTTTGGAAAACAGCGAATGGACGTGTCATACTCCCTAATGCTTTACACGTTGATTAGTGGCAGTAAACAGTCATATAATCATCCAATAAAGAAGTCATTTAAAAGTTTAGTAGCATCATCACGTCCACAATTGTTACCACCTCATCATGTAGCCTCATTAGATACAGACCAACTTGTTCCTTCACCGATTTTACATTCCTAGACTTTCATGAGTTCATGGCGATTACAGCATCTCACTTTTTTCGTACACATACCATTTGCAGTGGCCGTACGATGTTAACTTTATTCACTTGGTTTGTTAAGTTCATGGTCTGGTTTCGAAATCCATTTACGAACCGAATATTTTCTTGAAAACTTATTCCTCTTGTTTTTCAGACTTCAACTTTAGGTTAGTAGTGTTGTTTTTAACGAATTCCTTGTATCTTATTAGTGAATCAGAGTGAATCTTCACAGAAGTACATTGGTTTACAGTCAGTCATCTAGTCAATATCGACATACATATTACATAACAGTCCAATTTGTCACACCTTACATCGATGTATAGGCAGTAAGAGCAATATGCAGTAAAAAATGAAATTAAAGTTATAGGAATTTTTAGGGAAATTGGTGGGGAAGAAATCTAATATAACGATCAAGACGAAGATAGTGTTCCAACACATCTGTGCCTCTGAAATCGATTCAGATTCTTATCATCTAGAGCTTCGAACTGTCAGACTCTAACCTGTTGTTCTACATTTCCCTGCAATCATAATTAAATCTTATGTCTTTAAATACCACTATTGTTGGTGTCGGCTTTTCATTATCATTTGCCTAACTGATTGTGGACAGGGTCATATTTGACAGATAAGCACTAACAACATAGGTTGTGGCGTAGCTGCCTGTCATTCTAACTTGTCCCACGAAAGTAAAAACATGTATCAGCAGATATAGAGAACCACAAAACGGAATGAAAATGAGGTGAGGAAATTGGAGTTATTAATATAAGTTTTCATATAAGCTCAGAGAACACCAAACCACCATCAGTCTCCTCCTGAGCTGCAAATATTTTCCATCATTTCATTATTGGGCATATCTTACTTTTTAAGCAATCACGACCTGTCAACCCCGGTGTAGACTTAAGTGGCTTGCCGACATTACATACTACATACTTACCATCCATTGTTGATTATTTCTTAGATCTAAGGCATCTCATCTTATTCCGGCTCCAGTAGAAGATGAAACAAAACCATCGGGAAATACTTCTGGTCGTCTATTTGTTCCAAGCAAATGGGAAACTGTTGAAACGATTGAACCGGAGACGACGACATCTACGAGTATTTGGGAACTGACTACAATTACAGATACACAAAATGATCAGCTTAGCTCTAAGTCCAGAGATACAGTTCAACACACTCCCAGTCGTCATCAAAAACAAACTAATGGGGCGTTTTATCCTTCTGAGGAGGTAAATGGGATTCCACTGGACACAAGCCGATGGAGCAATAATAACCCTACCAATAAAGTAGATGATGAAGATGTGGACGGAGAGTGAGTACACTGGTTATTAACAGTCTTACTAATCGATACTTTTTTTAGTGGTATTAATATGGTACACATGCTAAAGATTTGTATTCTAACTCATAATGAACATTGGTTCTCATGGATTGTAATGGGTGTAATGTAACCGCATGCGTAAATCCATACTACTGGCAATGAGGTACACATTGTATCAAAGGTTAGGATACTACATAACCGTCCAGGCTTTGATTGACCATAGACAGAGGTTCGTTTTCTGACATCTGGACTGTATGGACTAACTTCGTCTGCTCAAGTGCTTTTTGGTGAAATAACTGCTTAAATAACAACCTTTTGGTCGTGAGTTTAAATCTACCTCCTCTGTATTCGTTGCAGCGTCCTGAAGCTATTTAGCATACTCACTTATCAAGTGTAGTTCAAACTCCTTAGTGCTTAGACGGTGATCGGTTTTCAATTTACACCCACTTCAATTCTTTGCTCCGTTGCAGCTTTTCGTGGCAGCTTCTCTGTTAGGTTTTCTCCACAGACTCGATTAAACAGGTTAACTGACTGGATATTAAGTACATCATGCATGATATTTTGTTCAGTTTAGCTGTGTTCGTTATCATAAAACTTACAGAATACCCAAAATATTGGTGGTGATTTCCACTTTTTAGAGGAAGATCTTATCTGTCCATCTTCCGTGAGTTTCGCCACATAAGTTTCACGCGACTGAATACTATCTGTGGATTTTTTCAGTTTGATTGCAAAGTACTGAACCTCATTTAGAGCTGTTATAACAAGTATTAGTTACTCATTATCTTAACTCTAAATTTTCGCACAGATTCTTACATTTTTGAGGAAATTTCGATATAGTGAAGAATAACAGTCTTCTGTGATAGATTTATTCACTGTGAGTGTCGATTGTATCCAAGACAGGCTGGCATCACACTTACTTAAGGCTGCTACCTGTCATTTCACTTAGGAGTTTACTATGTCATAATTGTTTGCTACTGAACTAACCAACTGTCGCTCTTTCTTATTGCTGATACGGAATGTGCGATTTGAGGAATTAAAGGAACTAAGTCATATATATATATATATATATATATATATATATATATATATATATATATATATATATATATATATAATACTCAGTTTCTAAAGCAATTTTATCTTTCTCTGCTTCAGTTTCTTGAAAAATGTAATTATGAGGCTTTCACACTGCTCCATACTCATAATCACTATTTTTATCTTTGTTAGGCCACTACCAGTTTTCGGTGGACTGGTGGCATATGATGACGAAGATGTCGCCAGTCCAATTGCTAGTGAATCCAGTCTTTCACCTACAGTTCCTGTACAGGTCTCTCAGACACCATGTCAACTGTTACGACTACTGCAAGTCATGTAACTTCAACGCCTAGTACTTCATCAACGACACCTGTTTCCGAAGAGCGACGTGCTATCCTAAGGAAGTTGAACTTAAAGTACTGAAATATCAAGATGAATTGGAGGCAAGTCGTAAGGGCGACAAAACAATCACAGATGAAGCTATAAATAAAGCAAGTGATTTCTATAAGATCAAAGTACCGTTTGGTGACATATTTATTTTTAAATTTGTTGTTGTACCTTTATCTGTTGCTTTTGTATACAAACAAAATATTCATTCCAACTTTTGTGTGCATGATAATATCCTACTTTACCGGAATTCGATTTTGATTTATCAGGTTTGTCGTTTGCATAGGTCTGAATAGTGTCTGAAATTAAATGAATTAAATGAGTGGTTAATGAAGGAATTGAGTTTGTACACCTTGTTATTCTCCATTTATCTTGTTCGAATCTGCCAAGCGAACTAAATTCACTGATTTTTCTGTGCACTTCAACATGACCGTTCTAGTCTGCAATTTTTAGAGCTTCGAATTTTAGTACCATTTCGACTTTCTCATTAACTCATTTTTCATATTCAGAGTTTTGTAGTTCACCGTACTTCCCGTATATTTTATCTTCTTACAAATGTATAAACATGGCCGTTGTCAATTATTTTTGTTCTTCAACCATTAACCTATTTGAAGGTTGTCGTCAATGTAAGAATTACCAGGAAACAGGAAGTAATGAACCACTGTTTTGTCACGTTTCAATGTTATGCAACAATATGGACATAGTGAACTCCATGTCAAACTGAACCGACGGTCCTCTGATTTCAGAACTGCTGCGATATAGGATCTACTTAGTTTGACAAGTTATTTTTAAAACTTCGCGATTCAAAATTCATCTAACCTTCTGCGGTCATGAATTACAATCTCTTGAGTAAATGTTAATACAGTTTGTGATCTTATACGTTGGAAGTCACTTGGTATAAACCGAAAGGTGATAGAGTCTCATCTAGGGTTTCTTGTTTTCATATTGAGTGTAATTTGTCTTGACCGTGTGTATTGTTAGCTGAACAGCGCTAAAGATTAAAGATACTAGAGACATATATTAAATTTTTTTAGTTGCTTTGTCATTGCAACAAAACCCATGGTCACCAACATCTTAAAAAATGTAACGACAAATAGTGTTTTACTTACATACTGCAGTGTGTTAGCGCTAATATGCACTACATTTATCCCAAGCAATTTCCATTTACTTGATTAAATCTGTGCTGTCTTTTGCCTAAAGCCTTAATTAATGTCCAAGTGCACTTACCGACTAGTCAGACTGAGGATGATGTTACACTAAAATACAAGAGTACTTCAAAATTAGGTCTACATAAATTAGTACCACCTGAATTTGATGTGAAGTCAATAACGTCTCTTTATCTTGAATGAATATTTCCCACCTGTCCACTAATTTCTAAGTTCATTGTTATGTTCCATTCCTGTTGTTGCCCTCCTCCTGTACTGTGCGCGTATCAGTTTGAACTAATTCACTTCCAGACCCGGTTTCATGTTGTTCGGTATGTATCTATCACAATAATCGAAACGGTAACAATATCATAGGATACTATTCAGTGGAGCAAGTCTTATCTAACGAGTTAGTTTTCTAAGTCAATTAGTCGTACATCAATACTAAATTTTTATTATGGAATATTAGTTTCGGGTCACTTATTCACTTGATATAAAATCTAGTTAAACCCTTCTGACACCTACAGACACACCTCTGACTGCTATATGTTGAGTTGACAACTCATTTTAGCTGTGCATAAGAAAACATCCTTTTGGTTATAGTGATTGATTAAGCAAAATCATCTGGTAATTCTTAATCAGTCAGTCACATCAAATGTACTTAGTATCGTGTATTACTGCTGTTTTCAGTGCTTATCGTTTTACATTCTTGTTCAACACTCACACCACACTTCGCTTCTATCCTTTTTGATTATGATTATGTGATCACGTTCCTCTAGTTTTTCCAAATCCTCTGGACACTGTTTTACATTATTTCTTTCCTAACAAAATCATTTAATTGAGTTATCATACCTTATTTTAACAAGACTTTTACACAGATGCCAACATTGATTCCTACATGAGAATCTAGCATTATCATAGTAGTACTATTGGATATTGCAACTTCAGAAATGAACACTTTTGAAAAGACTTTCTTTGTGCAGTCTTTTTCATACGATTTCATTGATAAATTTATGTGTAACTAACGTACGTTTTTCATTAATGTCTCTATGACAAGGTTTTCAATTGTAGTCATTCAGAGATGCCAGCGTGGAGTTTTAACGTATGAATTCAGTAACCCACGAGGTTGTTAGTGTGATTGGACATAGTTTTAAATTGGTAGTCTACTGTATAAATATACCTTTCTTTGCCACACGTTAATGCTTTAGTTTTTGATCAGTATATGTACAAAAGTGATTTACTTCAGGTTTTGGTACTAATTACTAAGCGGTCTTTATTTCTCCGAGTTCCATGCTCATAGTAAAATGTTTTTAAAAGAGGTTTCTTGCTCATTTCTATGATATATATTGTAATTTATATTTTCACTTAGTGAAATTCGGCATGTTGTAAGTATTAGTCCGACTTACTGTATTGTGAACCTTCATAATTAGCGTGTTTATTATCCCTAATTTTATACCTTCATCGCAGCATCAGATAATGTGCATGCATACTGATATAATCCGTTCTAACTATGTGGTCTATTTTTTTCTTCTGTAGCAAATTCAGCGTTACAGAGAGCGTCTTTGGAAAGCTTAACGGAAAGCGAACATTCAGTCATAAGAAAGAACACAAGTCTGTTCATCGTAATAAACCCAAATCGTCCAAAAACACTAAAGATAAGGGTGGTTTGACGCCACATCAATCGAAATATCAATCGCGAAACCGTGATATGTCCTCCTCCCCTACGCGACGAGATTCAAGAGATCGTTCACCTCCACGTTCCTTTCGTGATCGTGATCGCCCGCGTCGACGACATGCTTCTCCATCTGGAAGCTCAGGTTTGGGAGACGGTAGTATTTATGGTAGTCCTTCTGTCCGTATGGACTCACATAATTCTAGTGAGCGTAGACGAACGTCTGCATGTGGTTGGGAGCCTGATTCTGCTGAAGATGAAGCAGGCTATTCAACTCACGCTGACGATATGGAAGAGGGAGAAGCCAGTGAAGATGATGATGGAACAGCTTTCAATTCAAGCCAATCTCATGGGATTACACCATCAAAAAGAAAGCACACTGCACATAAGTCGGTTAGTAGAATTAACATTTAATTATTGCGGATTTCATATTTCTTATGAGGTGAAGGGGAGATGGGGTGGGTGTGTGGTTATGATAGCGTATACTACAATTATGTAGAAAAATTGAATAACTCAATTGGTTGTAGTTTCATTGTCACGTGTAGCATATGTTTTAAGGTAAACAGTTCATAACGTGAATCGTAGTCGAGTTGATGACTGATTCTATGTAGATTAATTCAATCATATGTCTATGTTTGGAGTTCGTGAAGCGAGAAAGTTCAGTTCATTTTTTCACTCAGGAAGTTATCGGTTCGTGTTTTATATGTATTTCTGTGGAATCGTCCTCTCGATGCTCATGTAATCTACTACGGGTAAGTAAAGTTTATTGTCTTTGAGAAGCCTAAGATTGACAGAAATCAACCCGTGCTTATTGACCATACTAGGTTTTGTTATCTTAAACTACTAACTTCTTCAAAGATCTAGTTCCCAAACTTTGATGTACTCTTCAGATTGCACCTTAGGATTGATGAAGTAAATTCATTAAAAAAAAAATACAGTTTCTCCCTTGTATTGGACCTCATCCTGCTGCTTACTAATTTGATCTTGGCAACGTTTATGCATTGGTTTGTGTACTTCGTTAAGTATTTTTCTGATATACCTCGATTTAAAAAGTTTTCGTACCGTGTATTTCTTTCTGTATCTTAATTTTCCCCTTTTCTTCTAGAATCGTAAACGTCACCGTTCACGGAGTCCAGATGTGACAGCCATTCATAGTCGTCACTCTCATCGTTCCCGTACGCCATCGCCATCTAGGAAAAAAATGCATTCATCAGATTCAGTCTCAAGGAGTTCAAAACGGAAATGAATATCTCTCTCCATGTTTTGCACAGATGGTGTCTTAAGTTGCACCTTTGTACAGTTTCTAATTTCTTTCCTTAACTTTCTGGTCTTTTATCTTTATGTTGAAGTCCGATGATGATGTAGTATAACTTTTATCCCCGAAACAATAAATTATGAGCGATTTCAATAAGGTTTTTTTCGTGAACCTCGTTTAAATGGGCTGAGATGGTTATAAACTAGATTCAATGAGAAATACTTCAAATCAAAATGTTATAAAAAATAAGTTAACCTGTACCTAATTACTAGTTCTTCAAGTACTTATGGGATTGCACTTCATTATCACTGTCGAAATTCTTGCATATATTCTGCCTAAAGATTGTGAATGCATTAGCACTAGTTACCTAGTTTTATGAAAGGTTACTTCCACACAACAAATTTAAGTGATTTTGCGAGTTTCATTTCTTCTTGGACTTAGTTTTGCATATCCTTAATTACAGATGTTTTCAGTTGGTGTGGATATCTCAAGGTTGTAAGTTTAGCCACCTTGATCACGAATAATGGGTTTTTCGTCGATACAATACCCTGTTAAATAATACTTCCGAACTACCATTTACTTCAATTTCTGGAAATTGTTAGGCTGCGGTGATTAGTTCAATACTCACACGGCTGGTTGTAATTACGAGTTCCCTCAAGAAGTGTAGTAACCAACAGTACGACCGTTTATCAATACGACCATTTGGGTCAATAATGAGTTCTTGGAATGTCACTTAAGAAAGCTGTATAGAATCATATCCGTGAAAATACGGTTCGTCAATGTAAGACATCAACTTTCGAGGAAAAGGTCAATGTCTTACACCGTACATTTCCTACATCTACTTCGGCTCAAGCAACCGAGAAGTGTCGAAAGCTACCACATTTTTAATGAATCATAGCCTAGTACGTGTATGCATAATAGCTTACGTTGCTAGCTTTAGTTCATTTGTTGTCCTTATTGACTGTCAGAAAAGCTTGGGACGGTTAAGCAACCTGCATACTGGTCATACGGCAAGCTACATAATTTACGATTCGTTAAAAAAGATAAAGCTTCTAACTTCTCATCGTGCTAGGGAATTTAAAAAGTATTTTCTGTTGTGTAATACAGTCTCGAATTCATGTTGCGTGAAAAAGTGGTATTGCTGAGGGTTCTGTCAGTGTGCCTCTAGACAATTCTACAGATTTCTCGATATCAACAGATATAACTTACTAGCACACTTATGGGCTTGCTACTAGATATTGGATCGCAGTGCACAATATCTGACTGCTTAGAGAAAGTGAGGGATGTGACGTAAACTATATGCTTAGCCAAGAAGTTAGACTTCCTTAAAGACAAGGACCTACACAAAAGGTACATCGTTTCTTACTGTAGATGCTTAGTCAAAGAGTCTATTACATACCAAAAAGTAAGCAACAGGTCTTCAAACTGCCAACATACTTTTATCTATTTTGATATACTGAAGGCTTTAGTATCTGGTAATGCTTTACTTGGTGAAAGTTTGTGAACCATTTCCCCTATTGCATCAAGTTATTTTGTTCATACAATAAACACATGTTAAGTACACACTTCGTTCACTTTTTATATTCATAATTTGTTAATATGAGTACATGTGCTTGAAAGTTTAACCGTCCATTTACAGTGTTTTCGTATCTGGTAATCGCGAAACTAAAAGTTTAATATCGATTTCATACTCTACAGCAAATAACAGTTTCAGTGGTATTCCACTAAGAGTTCAGTAAAAAATAACACTACACTTTAATATCACTGATTGATTTAGCTGCCAATTTACAAGCAACTTAAAGTTATTTTAGGAAACTTTGTTATAAATCCGCTAATTTATTGCTTATCCCACACACATTCCTGCGGAAATATTCATGTTAGATTTTTAATATACGAGTGTTGCATTTACATTGAAACTAGTTTTGCTTATTGGTACTGCATGTTGATAAACATTTTGAACTTCAATTTTTGAATTTTGGGCAGTTTATCTTTCATTTCGTTGTTAATGTCGTACATGGTGCCGATGTCAAAAAGCCAGGATAAACATGGATATGGAGTTGCTTCATTCTGGTTTAAGTCAATGCATTATTCACTCAGTTCGGCATTTGGGTTAGAAGTTATCAATAGAAGACATCTTTGCGTTCATGAAATCATAAAAATATTGTCTCTATTAAGGAATTAACAAGTTTAACCGCTTCACATTTCAATCTCAACATATTGTGTACTATACGGAGAGTCATAGTAATACCACTAGATCTCAGTGAAGAACAAACATGAAAATGTATGTCTCCTACATTGATATTGTTCATGCCTTTCAGAAGATGTACCAGCAAACAAACAGTTCATAACTTGTTTCATGAGATTCATGATGGTAGGTCTTTATAATAAATTCAGTGATTTGCATATATTGTTCATATCAAGCTTCATTTTCTATAGTGTTTATGATGAACCACATGAAACTTACTTAATAATTCGAAAGTATGAAAAATATGCATATGCTGGTTAGTACAATTGGACATTCAGTAGTTTCAAGTTCACTATCTGAAGTCGTTTCTTCACAGCATATAATTACTAAGCCCTGACCATATTTTATGTAGTTCATATTCCATAGGTTGTAACACCGTATCCTGGTTACGATCTATAGCTTATTTCAAGTGGAATTTATATGTTCTACATCTAGTTAAGTGGTGATGCAAAAACACGTATCAGGGTGTGACACAGATTCTTAGCATAGCTGTTAAATGGTTGCAGGCAGTCGACAGGAACCCCTGATCTAGGTTTCCTGCTTGTTGGCACTTGTCAGCAAGGCGTATCTGTAACCTTGACGGAACTGATGTCCCGCCCGAGATTCAAAGTCGCATCACCCAGCGTTGCAGTCACAGATATGTTACCACTGAGCTACTCGGGCCTCAGTTGACCCGTGGGACTGAATTGAATACGTTGGTCTCCAGAGGACAACCAGTTTCATGTCGTTTAGTCCTGGGTACTGACCGAATGCTGTCGATCATTTTGCAATGTGCTCGGAGGTCCAGCATTGTGGTGCACATGGATAGATGTTGGTTGGAGTCATTCAGCAGGAAGACCTGGACCTACGTTTCGTGCTTATTGGTACCCGTCAGTCACAGAGACACTCAACAGATGGATCTGTTAAAAATGACATTGTGAACGGTTTACAGTAAAGAGATGTTGAGATGTGATATCTTGTTAATGCATATTCATAATTGTATTGGAGTATCTATAACCGGGTTAATACGTTCACGAATTTTGGGATCTAGTTGTTTGCTTCATTGGACGTTAGGACAAATGCTATTAAGAATTGTGTTTTCACCGCGATATCTGATAGTCATATGGTATTTGATCCTAAAGACAGTACTCGAAACTGTCAATGAATATTCTGAATTTTAACCTATCGTCAAACTAAATTTGTCTCTATCAATCCAAAGTTTCGGAAGCGTGAGTAGTCAAATGAGCCTGTCGATCTAATAAACATTGAACTAGCCCATGCTGGATAAAATGGAATGGTCTGTGTTGAGGATCATTTTTTGATATTCTCGGTACCAATAGATAAATATATCTTAGTATCTTGTTTTTTTTCTCCTACTAGGCTAGAATGTCTGAATGTAGATAGCTTTAAAAGTACTCTATTTTCAGTTATTATGGTACGGAATAAAGAAAATTAGGACCAAATCTAGTGGTTTTTTTGTAAAAAGCATATATAATGCTTCATACACCACTTATTTCCACCTCATTAACGTTAGTTCTAGAATGCAGTTACTACCAAGGTACTGTTCAACGTGGAGATACATGTGTCCTTTCCTCGGGTGCGCTATCATTAAGAGAATATTAAGTTTTGTGGCGTTCGAAGTTTAATGTAAGAAGCTTAAATGTACATTTGGTGTCGCATTGAAATATATATGCTCTGTGCAAGTGAACCAGGAAATATACACCATCGAAATGCATTCATATTTGTCTATGAGACCCAGTGTATCTTTCCGAGAATGTTGACTAGGGTTTTATGAAATGTGTTATTCAAGGGCTTCTTAATGCTTGAAGAAGCGAGAATCGGTAATGTTCCTGTAACATATGTTTGTTCCCAAGTTTATACTCATTCAACCTTGCTAGCGATGTTGAGAGATCGAAAGTTTCAAATAAAGTGGGTATTTATTGTATAAAAAGTGACTACTATTAATTATTACACTGGTGTATAGTGTACTGGTTCTGGAAGCGATGTTTATACTGTGTTTGAATTACAATATATATATATATACCAAAACGTATTGGGATGAATTTATATCTCGGCTGGCTGACAACTGAAAAAATCAACGTAGAACCTCGCACACAGGTGCATCCCTCCAAGTTTCCACACTTCACGTTAGTATACAAAGAGCAGGTTGATAGCAAACAAGTGATATCACAGTAGACATAGTTGTGTGAGACAATAAACAGTTTGAAGATAACGGTTAGTGCAAATGTTCGAGCTTTAGAAGATGTCAAGTATGAAATTTATTATCATTATTATTATTTGTTCCTAGGGTTCCTAGTAGAACATAGGGCTTGAGTAGCACATAGCCACTTCACTCTCTTCTCTGCAGTCTTTTGAACACGGCTCCACGACTGCCCGGAAACTTTCATTTCTTCCTCACACCATCTACTCCATGTCACCCTCGCCTCGGACGCGCAACTCGTTTCCTTTGCGGGTTCCACTCGAGGATCTGGTGCCTGATATGCCCGTATGGTTTTCTCAATATATTCCAAATCCATCTTCTGCATATTTGTTGAGCGATAGCTTCCATGTGTCCGTCGAGATCCATTCCTTTTCCTGCTTTTTCTTCCTTCCCAATACAGTTGTGCAGGTTTCTTTCCACATCCCTTTCAAAGACTTCCAGTGTTCTTCCACGTTGCTTTCTTCAGAGATGTTACTCAATATCTCCCATTTTGTCCTGATGACTGACTGACGTGAAGATGTCCTTTGTAGTTTTGTCCTTCACTTT